TCCAAGTGCAAAACAGGGGGTCTATGTGGAAAACACGGGGTCTGGTGGAAAACACGGGCTCTAAGTGCAAAACACGGGGTCTGAGTGGAAAACAAAGGGTGTGGTGGAAAACACGGGGTCTAAGTGCAAAACAGGGAGTCTAAGTGGAAAACACGAGGTGTGGTGGAAAATACGGGGTGTGCGTGGAAAACACGGGGTCTGGTGCAAAACATGGGGTCTAAATGGAAAACACGGGGGTATAGTAAAAATGAGAAGTCGAAATTTTGTTAGTTTCAATTGCAATGAAAATCAATTCAAAATGTTGGCGTGAAACGCGTTTTTCAAGCATTTCGTAGGAAATAAAAAACTTCCGGAGGCGGAGGATTTTGGGGGGGATCACTGCATTTTTAGGATGACAGAAGGGGGATCAGTCATATATGACAGCCCAAAAGGGGGGATCACTAGATGCCACATGCCCATACAGACTTGGTGGATGGCTATTTGGCACTCTAAAAAGTAACTTTGCAATTTTCAAACACTTGGGTTGGTTAGTAGCTGGTATGTCAACTGACAAATGATCAGTCACAGGGTTCTTAGTAGAACGGCGGAATTTGAGCGGCCGTAAAATCGGCGGAATGTAGCACCTGTTCCGGTCATCAAAATTTGTACACATATAACAATAAATTAAGACTTGCAGACTGAGACGTTTCAAGAAGAAAATAGTATTTAAATTAAAAAAATTGAAACAGCGCTACTTGCTACATCTAATGTTATGATCATAAACAACTCATTTGCCGTAACACTTTGCCCCCCAAAATACATGAAATCGCATCTTTGGCGACCTGCAATTTCAAAATTTACCGGGGGAGCATACCCCGGACCCTCTACGCTGGCTTGCCCCTTCGGGCGAATCGGGCCTCACTTTAATTTATTCCAACTGTTATGCTTTACTGGACGCCTGTGAAAACTTCTGCTAAGAACCCTGATCAGACATCGAGAATCGAAGACACGGATCAAGAGACTTCACCATGGCGGTTTCATTAATCTGTAAGTCAGCATCATAGTTAGAAATATAACAGTCATATGACCGTTAAAAGCACTACCGCATATACTCGTCGAAAGGTGAATGTGTGCGAAGACAATGAGGGGGGATCACGAAATTTATTTATAGCAGTGAGGGGGATAATTCAATAAAATAACATTTAAAGGTGGGATCAGCTAAATGTTACTGTCTTTAGCCGAAAATCCTCCGGCGCCACCCCCAGGCGATAAATGAGTCAGAAATAATGACTGGACCGGTCCCTTAGTCGCGCTCAACGCTCAGGTCTAAAGTCGAAAGTGATTATTTGTATGAAAGGCTCTGTCATGGTTAAGGATACTAAGCAAAACAATCTTTATTATTTCATTTTTTCTTTCTCAAAGATATAAAAAAAAATCCATGCAAGTTATTGCACAAAATAAAATAGCCGCTCCATGCAAATGAAAACCATGAACGGCACGTTGGCCCTCACGAAATGTTTAATTTGCCTTTTTGATGGGAAAACGCGTTCCACGCCGAGATGCTGAATTGATTTTCATTGCAATTTAAGATAACAAACCTTCGACTTCTCATTTTAGTGAGGAAAATTCATATTTTGGCGAGAAAAAAAACTAGTTCACCGTGTTTTTCACTTAGACGCCGTGTTTTCCACTTAGATCCCGTGTTTTGCACCAGACCCCCTGTTTTCCACCGTACCCAGTGTTTTCCACACCCCGGGACCCCGGCCCCGCGTTTTCCATCTACCCATCTACAGTCGAACCTCCGGTTGCGACCACCTCTCGTAAGCGTCCACCTCTCCGATCCTCAACGACCAGTTTTCCAAAATACAAAAAGTTTCCAAGTCAAATCACTATATTTGGAACCTCTTGTAAAGCGACCACCTCTCGTAAGCGACCGCGGCCACTTTTAGAGCTAAAACTTTGAAATTTTCTTTTGTTTTTAACCACCAGTTAGCGACCACTTGACAGAAATTGGATAATAATGTGCTGTAAATTATCGAATTCCTCATTACTCAGGGGAAAAATTCACGAGGTTTCCTGTAGTCTAACTTTGAGCTAATGAGAAACAATACTGTGTACACCAGAACTAAAAATGGGGGGGGAAACGGGCTTTGCAAACCCAGCCGTTACTCTCAATCTGTACACGTTCCCCTTAGCCCTACCCCATCCNCGAAAATTAAACGTAGTAGAGAACTCGCGCTGTAAATTAAAATTACTTTTTTTAAAATTTGAAGGATGTTGCGCCTCCTTCTTACGACGAAGCAGTTAAAAGACAAACAGAAAAGGCTTCCGGATCAAGTGATAAAGAACCCCGACATAAGAGAGAGAAAGACCATTTCTGCGATGAGGATAAAACGGGCCAAGAAGAAGGTGAAGCCAAGGAGAGTTCCTCGTGCGATGAAGATGACGTGTGGGCCACAGAAGATGAAGATAATGATGACAATGAGAACGAGACGGACAGTTCCGAGGAAGAATATAATGCCAGTTGTACGGTAGGCACAAGACAGGTCTTAACTCAAGCTAACCAATCATAGCGAAATATTTCGAACTAACCAATCAGCGCATGTAATTCCTCAAGCAAACTTGACAGCCATTGGATATAGAATATTTCGAACTAACTAATCATAACCCGTGCAACTTCTTAAGTACATTCGATAGCCATAGGACAGACTATTTCGAGCTAACCAAACATAACCCGTGCGATTTCTTAGATTTAGAAAACGATATCACTGGATAAGAAATCGGTTACCAAACCATCCCTCCTCTTGGTTTTACCAAAAATGCCCAAGAATGACTTTCTCTGAAAAGCAACTTCCAGAGACACATAGCGTAGATTTTTTCGGGCAAACTTATGCACCTGAAAATGACTTTCGTTTGTTTTAGCGGAATCACCCGAGGGACAGACGCCGGCCACTCCATAATAGAAGAAAGAATTCTCCCAGGTCTCCTAGAAGGGAAGTGGACGCGCGTTCAACCATTGTGTCCCTGGTACCGAAAGAATTTCAAGGCTTTTAACAAAACAAAACAACTGGCTTGAAACGATGGAGAATTCCCTGCGAACTTTCAGCTTTCCAGTGTTATGCTCGCTTCCAGATTTCAGCTACACGGCTTGACTTAAACTGGGCCGCTTTTGAGCTTCGATTGTGCATTTATCTTGTTTCATCAGAGAATTTTGATCCCGAAAATATTTTTGTAAAATAAAAGGGAATTTGAAAACCGAATAAACTGCAAGTGTTTTTCATAACCAAATGAAGTTCTATGCTTGAAAATTCGAAGTACATTTGGCAATGAATCTCTTCCCGCATTTGTATAGAAATCACCGACTTGCTATATTAAAGCTGCTTACATGTACATGCACTACCATTTAAAAGTGTCAGCTTTCAGTTTTCTGCCCTTTGTGAGATTTAAGGTCATGTCTCTGCTCAATTCCTCCCTCGCTCGAGGGACGTCTGAAAAGACTGGAACGAAAAGATTCAATTAACGGCGCAGCTTTTTAGGAAACCATCTCGCGTCTCTGATTGGAGGTTAATTGCGCGGAAAACATCGTGACCCAGCGACAGCCAATCAGAGAACAACACGGAACTCTGGAGAACTACGTCATCAGTATGGAATATTTTGATGGAATCTCAGAGGCATCTGCGCTGATAATTTGATGCAACTTAAACAACGACAGAAAATATAAATTTGGTACTCTTGACCATGTTTTGTTCACCTTGACTAGATTTTATAACCACTGCATCTTTTATAAAAAACTAATGCACGATACCTATCTAAGCCCCTCCACTACCCCCTAAATAATGACTACCCTTCTTGTGAGTGCCTACATTGAATTTCAAAGAGCTCTAAGATCAGACTTTAATACTTATGTACAAATTTTTTTTGTCCCTAACCTAAGTACAAATATTACTGAGTTCGGAACCAATAACTGACCACCCTTTCCTTTCAAGTTTTACATTGTTGATTAAAATCAAGAAAACACCTATTACATTTCATTGTTGGTAGATTTCAAAGTCCTTTGTTGTAGAAAAGCTTGGTCTCTTTTGTCATCATTTGGATTTCTGGTTCGAGATCAGCCGGTGAAACCTGAAGTAACAAAAACAAACAGAAAAGTTGAACAGCAAAGCATTCGCACATGAACTATCACCAGGTTTTCCGGTTTTCTTCACTGTCGCTAAAATGCTGACGTCAAAACTATCGGAAAGTTTACGAGTGCTCGTGCTTTGTTTTCATTGGATAACAAGAGTCGTACACTGTTCGAGTATTAAACGAAAAATTCCGAATGGTAAAAGGGTTGAAAAACAGACCTTAAGCGTTCGTTTTCTTTAGAAAAAAACTCGCACATTCCGCAGATGTGAAGACAACTTAAACTTAAACTCTAACTTAAAAACTCCTACTTAAAATAACCACATTGCTACATGTGCACAATACGTAATTTACTGAGGTACGGCCTCGCCACACTACGTAGGAGGAATTTGAAAACGGAGGTTTCACTCTGCGAACGCATCAAATGTTTTCCGTCCTCACTACGCCGGGGGAATTTGAAAACGCAACAATGTACATCACACAAGCTTCGTTTTCAAAATGCTTTCGGCGGTCCAAACTAAAACGCAACGCCGGTGTTTTTAGATTCCTCCGATTTGAAGAGCGTTTTGAAAAAGCTCCGTTTTTCGTGACGGATTAGTATGAACGGAAGGCCTAACCGGAGAAACAAAGCTCCGTTTTCAAATTCCTTGGGCCTAGAGTGGACTGGGCCCAAGTCATTGGATAAGGATTACACTCTCACCTCAGATGTTTGAGGAAAGAGCGCGATTGCCAGAGGAAGACCAAAGCCAAAAGCTGCAACACAAACCAGCGCTTGAACGGGAAGGTGGAGTCTGGGACGTGATACCATGAACTTCGTCCTGTGTTGAATAAACCAAGAGCTTATTAATGTTAGCACAAAGGTCCAAAGGATCGTCTTGGTTCTGATTGGACAATATCTGATGCATCCGTAACTCTTCGGGAACCTTCAGGAAGCGTTCCGACGATTTGCGGAAACCGACGATTGTTTCCGAGTGGCTCGATAACCTTCGGTTTCGTTCGAAATCTCAACTCTGGTTATTGAGAATCTTACCTTTCTAAAAGCTGCATGGCAAATGGTGGAATAACCAAAACAGGTAACGGAAGAAGGATTCGTGTCAGAGTTGTTTCAAACACGGCCTGTGAGTAAAAATGCACAAAGAAAGGTTTACAATTTGAACGTCACCACTTTATTCATGAAATAAACCACTTCTAACGTTTAGCTTTCCTGCTTTGTATGTACGCCACTCTTCCGACTAATTCTACGAAATTTTGTGAAATTCCAATAATTTACACCGGGATATGAGCTCTAGCTCCACCCGAGGGGAAAAAAAATTGGCCCCCAAATTACAAACTATTAAATGACTGTTGAACTGGTTCGGCACTACACATCGTAATGCTTTAAAAGAGTTGTAATTTTTGTTTTACTATGCACCTTAAATTTTCCATACACAAAAAAGTCTTCCAAAACCCAAATAAAGCCTAAACATTTCTGAAAGACAAAACGAGAAGTTTCTCTTAAATAGAAAGCGCCTAATAAATCCTGTATTCACCAAACTTGTTCGATCAATATGGCTGGATATTGGCCTCGTTCATTTTGTGTGTGTGTTTATGGAACTCGACTCCGTCTTTGTCCATAGACACACCATAAAAGATCTTGGCCAATATCTAGCCATATTGACCTCACGCCCATATATATGTACCTTTCGAGCTGCTATTTTTGAAGTTCCCACAACATTTCCCTCTTTGTCTTTCACTTCAATTCCCGTAAATAGCTCGTGGTTCCTCATCAGGACCACGTTACAGATGTTCGCAGTTGCTGGAAGACGAGAAGAAAATTTTGTTTCTTGAAGTCTGTTTGTTAATTGGCTTATGTTTGATAAAAAACGGACTGCAACGTGCATGATTTTTGCATGGCGTGACTTTTCCGCTTTTCAGCGATTTTACTTTTCATAAACGCGGGAAATAGAGCGGTTTTCTAGCCAATCACGGCGCGCACAGACAGTGCAACGAATCAATCAGAATTCAAAGCAGACAGCAACATCAAGCGCGCAGCAGGAAGGCGCGCGAAAACCATGTCGCCATGCTTTGATTTTTTCTTAACTGATATCTGATTGATTTCATAAAAGCATGTTATTTTACTTTCCTCTAATTACACATGTATTCAGCACAAGAATGCTTGCCCAGTTAGCGAATTAAGGCAGAGGTAATGTTGGAAAACTAAAGGCTGGTGTTAATTTTACCTGTAGCAGGATAGGCCACTAATCGTTGAAGTAAGGCTTTGATTGAAGAATTGGAAATCTTTGCTCTTTTAACCAGTGTAGTCAATCCTAGCTTTAGGAAAAGAACATTCAAAAGTAAATGCCAATACGGGGCTGATTGGATATCAGTCTTGTGTAAGAGGAGGAAAAGTGTAACATTTTTTTTTTTCTTATCATTTTGACCCATATCATGTGTTTTGGACTCAACTAAATTCCGACCTTCGGGAAAGTGCGAGAAAGGTTTTTGGAAAAACTTGAACCGTAACAGCGAATTTTTCCCGTTTCCTCTTGGACTTGAAGGTTGTCTCTATATTTTCAGCTAAGATAGAAAACGACTGAAAGCAAATTGGCCTCATCAAGGTAATCAAGCGAGTCAAATGACAAGTCATTTTACAAAATACGTCATTCTAAGCAAAAAAACTTTTTTCAATGTAAATTCTGACAACTACATACTGCAAATCAAGATAATCTCTTAGTTGATGTTTTCCTTCATTCTCGTTACCTCTTTGCTTGACAATGTATCGACATGGTAAGGAAAAAGTTAATGTTGAACCAACTTGTGAATAAGAAAGCTAATTATCAGAGCTTACAGCAATTGTGACCGCACTTGTAACAGCCCCAAAGTAGCTCAACACGAATCTGCTGGTTGGTGTTGGCTGAAGATGAAACAAAGATGAATATGAATCAAAAGGTTACAAAACACTCCAATCTTATCTGTGCAGAGAAGAGAAAGGGAAAAACACCACATTTAACTTGTGAGTTCTTAAGGTGGCTGGCAACAGTTTCCAGCACTTTTCGAACATTTAAGGTGGCTCTGAGCTCCCTCCATAGAAAAATTGCATCTTTCCATGCTTATCACAATTCGCTGACAAAAAGTGGGGGTCACGGAGCGTATAAGCACTTAAGGCTAAAATTAAGGGAGTTTTCAACAGGTTGTACTGTTATGGTTGGGCATTTATGTGATGCCAATATTGTAGCTGCATCACTTGATAAACAGTGCCAGTATTGATTTATCAATTAAACTACAGCTGTTGGAAAAGTGACGGAAACTGTTGTCAGCCACCTTAAACGTAACGCCCGTTAAGTTTCATGAAGGTACATAAAACAAATCGTATTTTCTTCTCAACAACTGATTAATTTGCGTCAATGTAAAATTTATAAGATATTAAAAATATTCTAACCTTGCTTGCATTTCTATTGGAGTAGTTCACTGCGGCATTGTGACTTTGGTTCATCCACTGTAACATCGAAAGTAGAAAGTTTGCTAGCTCCAGGAGGTCTTAAGCTTGCTAACTCCAAGAGTTTTTTGGCGGGAAAATATGATAATATATCATCTTCCAAAGATTTCTCTTACTGCATATGTAGATTCCGGTACATCATTACCTTTGCTGTTTGTTTTATTTTCAACTTTGATCGGGTTCATTAATTTTTTTAGAAAGAAAACAAAAGACATGCATCAGGTTACAGATTAAACGACAAATTAAGGCCATTTTATTAATCTACGAATTAAGACAAAATCTTCAAAGTTAACCTTTCCCATGCAAAGCCTTATTACAGTCATTTAACATACGGACTGTTCACGACGTGTGTTGGGGCTGCCAAAACAAACATACCTGCCAAAATATTACAGTCCTCAAAGATGGTGCTGGTAACAGCATTCCTACAACCTGAAAAAAATATACCCCAAAACAAAGTCAGTTGAAAACATTTCTGAAAGAAAATAAATGGTTCTCTTATATATTAATAGCGTCGCGCGCAATTGACGTCACGTAAATATAAGGCCGGGTGTGACTCAGATATTAAACAAACCATTCCACGCGCTACTTCTTTAAGAACGACGTTTGGAACAACGGCGCTCGTGAGCAATTCAGCGTAATTCAGCGTAATATTCATCGATTAATTTCACAAATCTATAGCCTCTTTGGGTCAAACTTTTAGAGAAAACCACAACATGTACCTTGGAATAAAATACAGTTTGAAGGAGGGCGGAAGGAGGCTGTTTGTGAATACGTTCTGTGGCACTGGAAAAAAATGTCAGTGTACCCGACATTCAAGTGAGTCAGTCACACGACAGCCAGAAAGCTAGGAAAGATATACCATGAAAGAATACCATAAATCCAATCCGATTCTTCGTTTTGTCGTTAAGAAACTGGCTTGCTCTGTACTACACATTGCTGCACCGGATATAAGGGGTGGTGAATGGTTCTTCAAAAACCATCGGCCTCACCACCGTGCAATTCTTGTCTGAGTCATCTGGGGTCCATTGGTGATGCAATCTATTTCTACCAATAATTATTGTGCACGACACTATTAAATCTAAACTAATCCGTGTCCACTTCTGAAAAATTTCTCATTGCTACATATGAAACTAACTTATTCATGATAAAACGGGGGACTGTAAAAGCTGTAAGAATTTCCCTTATCGCCATCCTTAAGGTGATTCCCTAGTAAAAGAACCCGCCATAGTTTTCCGATGAAACTTGGTATGCTATTGTTACAGGACAAGGAGATATTAAAAACGTAGTAAAAAGAGGGGGTCACCGTGCTTGTTTTCACGCCACAATGCTGACAAATACCGTCATTTAGGTGACTTTTGGTAATCTCCGTGCCCAACAAATAAGCTCGATTATTTTTCAATGCAGCGTGTCATAACACACAGACTTTCACTTTCTTTGACTGTTTATTCATCTACGTCCCAGAAAAATGTCTTCAAATACCCTGCATTTTCTTATCCTTTAAAGGAAACATGATATGGACATGCGCTGTTGGGCCCGTTATGTCTCCCTCTGTAGTATTTATTTCATTTGCCAAAAAAGTAGCCATAGATTTCTGCTAAATTTTTTCTCCGTTATTGAGGATATTGTTCTCATTGAAATTGTGAAATAAAATGTGGGGGTCACCGTGCTCGTTTAAGAGAAAAGGGGCATTTATTTCGCTATCGAGCTTAGTTTGAGGGAAATTTCTTACGTTTTGTACGCGCACTAGCTAATGACGCGAAATTTGTGCGCAGTAGGGATGCGCAATGCAATGCTAAAGGATCACCTTAAAGTAAAACTTATATTGTTACCAACAACTTAACTAAAGGATGTAAACATTAAAACTTGCCGTTACTGTTCCAAAAGGTACATATCCTGCAGAAACAGAGATGAGAAAATCGCTTGTCATAATTTTTTTACTATAAAAATGTATGAATGATAAAGTAACAATGTTAAATTGATCAATTTTTTTGAAAAAAAAAAACAAAACAAACAAACATGCCATCAGGCTGTGTGTCAATAATTTTACATCTCCAATTTTTTTTACTGGATTTCATTGTCTCAATTTGTTAAGGACACCAAAGCCTCTACTACATCTCCTTTGTGCTCACGTAAACTTCTTTCTGCTGCAGCTCTTGGAATTTCCATTTCGTCAACCTAGTGGACAAAGCAGATGCCTGATTTACAAAAAATTGAAATTAATAAATGTACTGTTATTTACCTGTGTTTGATGTGCTCGTGTATGTAAAATAAAAATTCTTAACTGTGCAATTATTGCACTGTTGCCTGGTAACTCTGAGAGGTATATTCCATAAATACGTATACCAAACACGGATTGTGCATTAATGTAGAGTATACTTCTGTAAGATAATTATACATGAGTCTTGTATACATGTAACTATTCCTAGAGAATAAAATCCAAACACTTTCAAGGAAATTGGCCGTTTTTATACATGTACTAGAGGACGCATTATCTGTCCTGGACGATAATGCGTCCACGCCATTTTTATACTGAAGACGCATCATCCGTCTAGACGAACTTGGGCAAACATCTGTAGTTCGTCTGGTTATGCGTCTCTAGTATAGAGACGGGCACAAGACGTGTTATGCGTCTAGACGAACTATACCTCAAAATTCATCTTGAACGACGCACTAGGAGAGAGAGTTCGTCTAGATTCATAATACGTCTTGTGCCCTTCTTTACACTAGAGACGCATAACCAGACGAACTACAAATGTTTGCCCAAGTTCGTCCAGACGGATAGTGCGTCTTTAGTATAAAAACGGCCATTGTTAACTTGCCATGCAAGTTTCTTTAGGCTTTCTAGCTTACCCAAATTTTCCAATTCATCTACATGTACATGGAAACTGTAGTCAAACAATGAAAGGTTAACTGTATACTGTACTTACTATTAAATCAACATCTTCTTTTTTTATGACAATCCTTGCAAGCTCTTTCTCTCTGGAAACAAAAAGAACAAACAAAAGAAAACAAAATTACTTTTAATCATTAAATTACAAGAAAGTAAAATGTATCCATACTTGAACATGTAGTTTGGGCATGGTGGAAAGAAATTAGTTTGTATCTTATTCTGCATTCTTCCCAGTCTTTGGAAATCTACAGCAAAACGTTCAGGAATGTTTTAAGAATTAATGGAAAAAAAGTGCATGACCTTTAGGCCATTTTGGAGGCCTAAGAGAGTTGTCAAAAACCTTGGGAAGGCAGTGGAGGAAAGCAGTGGAAAACCTTTTCTTGGTATACCAGACATTGAATATTATTTTCCACTTATGACTTATTATTTTTCTTGGAACTAATGCACTAGCCTAGGTTAACGAGATTGTGGGCATAATGAAAAATCAAGTCACTTGTGGTGTATTTTGTAATACACATTACGTTCTGTAACCTAATGGATCATAGCCTGCTGGACTTTGCATTGAGTGGTTCACTGAGGTTTGATGAAGCCTTGCCAGGGTCAGAGTATTATGTGTTCGGGCAAGACATTTTACATTCACAGTGTTCCTCTTCACCCAGGTGTATAACTGGATACCAGCTGGGGGTACCCCACTGCAATACATTACCATCCCATCAAAGGAGGAGTTCGATTTAATCAAAGTCACTTCATGCAACAGAAACAGGAGATAAGTGCTGGCCTGGTGGGGCACTACAAATGTAGGCTTGAAGACAAACTTTTACCTCTGTACCATAAAAGAAAACTGCACAACCAGTAAGCATCATGTGGATTATTTTTGAGTAGGGGTGCAGGTACTGTAGAATCTTCACTACATTCACATTTACCAGTAATAACATAAACTTCTGAAAGTAGCAAGCCCCTGAACATAATGTCACAAAATTGTGGCTGCTAATAAATCCCGAAAGTAGCGACCTGCTGAAAGTGCAACCCCTTCTAAAAACAACCACCCC